CCAGGCTCATGTCTGGGAGGTTTCCCCTCGTGCGATACGAGCGAGGCGTCCTGATTGGTTTCTGTTAAACTTTGACATATTCCATGTGGTCTTCCCAGCTGGAAGAGGAGACTCCAACCAAAAGGCCGTCCTCTTTAGACCCAGATACAGCCGGGGCCCTTAACCCGTCCACCACGTTCTCCGGAGTAGATCACTGAGACGAAGCGCACGTCTTGGGCTTTGTGGACGCGCTCCTGGTGTGAACGATTTCCAGACAGATGGGACATGCCTGTCCTCGTGCAACTGCCTGAAACGGAGCTCACAGCTCTCACAGAACTTCGGATCAGCTTCCGTTAGCTTCTCCGGAGTATACAGGCGTGTGTTAACACAACTCACAAACACTACATCAGTAACCCATCAGTCCGGCAGAGGGCAAAGGTCATTTCAAAGCCGTTTGGAAGGAAAGGTTATTGGAAAATGACAGCTGGACATCCCAGCAGGTTCACTCTGAGGTCAAAGGTCAATACTCAAGAAAACCCAAAAGCTCCAATCTGACTCTACAGGTCTGAGTTAGCGGGTCAAAGGTCATCAGCTGATCCCAGCGGGCTGATGGTCGGGCTGGTTCTGACCAGCGCTTGATTTGTAAATCAAACATTCCCGGAACGCAAATAGTGACGTCAACCTAAAGTTCACCAAAGGCGAAACAAATGCCGGAGCAGGCATGGGGGGGGGGGGGGGGGGGGGGTGGGGGGGGTGGGGGGGGGGGGGGGTCCGGGTTGGTTCGCTGGAGTTTTTGACAGTTAAACAGGTGCCCACATTTTCTAAGTTAACACACATTTCATTTAACCCTCCCACTGTCCTAATGGGTGTCACCCCGCGAGGAAAGTGAACTATTGAGCAGGGTTGATGGTTGATGGTTCATCCCTTGGATCCACATGGCAGGGGTGAAGTGGTGCTCACTCCTCACCCCTGCCATGTGGACCCAAGGGATAAACCATCAACCCTGCTCAATGGTACACTTTCCTCGCGGGGTGACACCCATTAGGACAGTGGGAGGGTTAACAACGGTAGTTTCTGCATCTTGCTTCAGCCCCCCCCCCCCCCCCCCCCCGCTTCAGCCCTCCCCCCCCTCCCCCTGCACAGCGGCTGCAAACTCACTGATGCGCCTGCAGCCTCTCAGAGGTCCTGCTGCTCTAAACATTAAAATAATTATTTAATTTTCTGTTCCTCACTTCTGATGACCTTCAATGGTGTCTGTTTGTTGCAACCAGCAGGTACAAAAACTAACTTGTTTTTATTTGACTATTTTTCTGTCCTGCCTGTTTATTATCTTCCTGCATCTCCTCTCAATCCTAAAGAAAAACTGCTACCTGGGTTCATATATATTCACCTCATGAGTTACCTTGAGGTCGATAGTTGAATCTCGGATTGAGGAGGAGCAATGTGGTTTTCGTCCTGGCTGTGGAACTGTGGACCAGCTCTATACCCTTGCAAGGGTGATGGAGGGGGCATGGGAGTTTGCCCACCAGTCCACATGTGTTTTGTGGATTTGGAGAAGGCTTATGACCGTGTCCCCAGGGGCACCCTGTGGGGGACGCTCCAGGAGTATGGGGTGGGTGGCTTTCTGTTAAGGGCCATTCAGTCCCTTTACCAGAAGAGCGTGAGTTTGGTCCGCATAGCCGGTAGTAAATCGGACCTGTTCCTGGTGAGGGTTGGACTCCACCAGGGCTGCCCTTTGTCACCGGTTCTGTTCATTACCTTTATGGACAGAATTTCTAGGCGCAGCCGTGGTGTGGAGTGTGTCGAGTTTGGTGGCAGGAGAATCTCGTCTCTGCTTTTTGCGGATGATGTGGTCCTCCTAGCTTCATCCAGCTCTGACCTTCAGCTCTTGCTGGGTAGGTTCGCGGCCGAGTGTGAAGCGGCTGGGATGAGGATCAGCACCTCCAAATCTGAGACCATGGTTCTCGACCGGAAAAGGGTGGCTTGCCAACTCCGGGTCGGGGGAGAGGTCCTACCTCAAGTGGAGGAGTTTCAGTATCTCGGGGTCTTGTTCACGAGTGAGGGTAGGAGCGATCGGGAGATCGACAGGAGGATTGGTTCGGCGTCTGCAGTGATGCGGACGCTGAGCCGATCTGTCGTGGGGAAGAGGGAGCTGAGCCAGAAAGCCAGGCTCTCGATTTACCGGTCGATCTACGTCCCAATCCTCACCTATGGTCATGAGCTTTGGGTAATGACCGAAAGAACGAGATCGCGGATACAAGCGACCGAAATGAGTTTCCTCTGTAGGGTGGCCGGGCTCAGCCTTAGAGATAGGGTGAGGAGCTCGGACATTCGGGAGGGACTCGGAGTAGAACCGCTGCTCCTCCGGATCGAAAGGAGCCAGTTCAGGTGGTTTGGGCATCTGGTCAGGATGCCTCCTGGACGCCTCCCTGGGGAGGTGTTTCGGGCATGTCCTGCCGGCAGGAGGCCCCCGGGTCGACCCAGGACACGTTGGAGAGGTTACATCTCCAATCTGGTCCGGGAACGCCTTGGGGTCCTGCCGGAGGAGCTGGTGGAGGTGGCCGGGGAGAGGACGGTCTGGAGCTCCCTAGTTGGTATGGTGCCCCCGCGACCCAGACCCGGATAAGCGTAGGAAGACGACGACGACAAGTTATCTTTTAACTGCAGTTCCAAAAGATCTACCGACCGCTAAAACAGCGGAGTGCGCGCCGGCCGCACCAGTGAAGTACGTCACTGGAGGACAAAACAGGTGACGCGCTCCGCTCCACAGCAGCAAAACGCATCAGACACAAATAAAAGACAGAAAACATAAAAGGAAATGAGCCGACATGAACGATCGCGTGGTAAATTATTTTTTGAGGTGGCGACATCTAATTTGACAATGTTACTGTGGCCGTGCTCAGGACGCAGATGTCTGGAGCGCGTCAACGATCAGAGCTCCGCGCCTCTCAGCTCTAAAGAAGCCATAGTCCACATAGATAATGTAATATAAGTAGAACCTGGGTGTGGAAGCTGAGGGCTTCCAGGGGAGCCTGTCATCTTTTGGGGTGAGCTGGGATCCCTTCAGCTCACCTGTAATTCGGACCCTGTGTATAGTACATGTTGGTCTTGTGAGTTGCCGGTTCCTAGCAGACAGTTGTTGGAACAGTCCTTTCAAAATAAGACAGCTCCCGGATCTTGTTCTGGCTCAAATAAAGCCATGGTTCTGACCCATCAGGACTCAATGAGTCCACAAGAATGTTCTCGGTCCAGCGAGTCCATCTGTCTCCATGATCCAACCACAGCAGCAGATCAAGGTTCTGATGAGGTCCAGGTGGATCCTTCAGAGAGGTGAACATCTGTGGATCAGGACCACGTGAGAGCTTTAAAGGGAGGTTCTCCTCTTCAGTTTCATCAGTTTGATTTTTTTTCACCTGAGGCAGTAAAATCTGATTCGGTCCAGATTTATTTTGTTTTGTCCTGAAACCTCAAACCTGTAGAACCTCATCCGAAGCATTGGGTCCAGCGCCGGGGCAGCAGCCGGATGTTTGATGTTCACCATCCCTCTGTCTGATCCGTTCTTCCTTCTTCTCATCGTGTTCTTTCTCCTCCTGCAGGTCAGAGAGGAGAGCACGCCTACTGGCCCCCCGACTCCAACCTGATTGACAGGAGCAGCATCAACGGTAACAAACCTGCATCCCTTTGCTCTTTCATCCGAGTCCGTCTGTCAGGAAAGTCGAGCCGCTGTTGCATCAATTATTCGGCTCAATGCAGCGGCGACGTTCCCAAAGCTCCGGAGACCCGAGCGGGTTCTGTTGGAGTGTTATTGAGAATCGTCGTGGTTGTTGTCTTTAATCACTGTGCTCAGTCAGGTCTAAACTGGATGTAATGAGTCACTGTGCTCCACCGAGGAGCTGATTTAATATTTATTTAGCTCCACTTCCTGTTTATCGCATCCGAATTATTAAATCAGATCCACCAACTCACCATCAATCAGTGGCTCTGGAGAAAATCATCATCGTCGTTAAGGGACAGCAGCAGCTCAGGAGGTAGAGCAGGTCGTCCAGTAACTGGGAGGTTTCAGGTTCGATCCCGGCTCCCACCAGACAATGCTGCTGTTGTGTCCTTGAGCAAGACACTTAACCCCCCTTGCCTGCTGGTGATGGTCGGAGGGACCGGTGGCGCCTGTGCTCCTCAGCCTCGCCTCTGTCAGTGCGCCCCAGGGCAGCTGTGGCTACATCGTAGCTCATCCTCACCAGCGTGTGAACGTGTGAATGACTGATTGTGTTGTGAAGCACCTTGGGGGGCTGTAGAACTCTAAAAAGGTGCTGTACAAATACAGGCTATTATCATTTCATCTTCAACATGGACACAAGTAGTTAAAACCTTCACACACTTTTACAGGAAATGCATCAACTTTGTTTTAGGTGAGGGTCACAATTAGGATGAATGCCTGGCACGTCACACACAAGGAAGCAGCTCTAAATAAGTAAATAAGCTAGTGTTTGTATGTTTACCTTTGAATTAAATTTATTTGTTTGTATGTTCATTTATTGAATCCATCTTTTGCTGTAAAAACTGCATTTAAAATTATGGAAATGCTGAATTCTCTGCAGGAGTGTGTGTGTGTGTGTGTGTGTGTGTGTGTGTGTGTGTGTGTGTGTGTGTGTGTGTGTGTGTGTGTGTGTGTGTGTGTGTGTGTGTGTGTGTGTGTGTGTGTGTGTGTGTGTGTGTGTGTGTGTGAGTGTGTGTGTGCAACAATGATCACAATTTTCATCCATCCATTTTCATCCGCTTATCCGGAGTCGGGTCGCGGGGGCAGTAGCCTAAGGCGAGAGGCCCAGACTTCCCTCTCCCCAGCCGCTTGGGCCAGCTCCTCCGGGGGAATCCCAAGGCGTTCCCTGGCCAGCTGAGAGACATCGTCCCTCCACCGTGTCCTGGGTCTACCTTTAGGCCTCCTCCCAGTTGGACGTGCCCGGAAAACCTCACCAGGGAGGCGTCCAGGAGACATCCTGACCAGATGCCCGAGCCACCTCAACTGGCTCCTCTCGATGTGGAGGAGCAGCGGGTCTACTCCTAGCCCCTCCCGAATGACCAAGCATCTCATCCTATCTCTAAGGGAGAGCCCAGCCACTCTTCGGAGAAAGTTCATTTTGGCCGCTTGTATCAGCGATCTCGTTCTTTCGGTCACTACCCAAAGCTCATGACCATAGGTGAGGGTAGGAACGTAGATCGACCGGTAAATCGAGAGCTTCGCCTTCTGACTCAGCTCTCTCTTCAACATGACAGACTGGTACAACGCCCGCATCACTGCAGATGCAGCACCAAGGGAGAGAGGAAAGCCTGTCGATCTCACGCTCCAGTTTTCCCTCACTCGTGAACAAGACCCCGAGATACTTAAACTCCTCCACTTGGGGCAGGACCTCATCCCTGACCCGGAGAAGGCATTCTACCCTTTTCCGAATCAAGACCACGGCCTCAGAGTTAGAGGAGCTGATTCTCATCCCAGCTGCTTCACACTCGGCTGCGAACCGCTCCAGCAAAAGCTGAAGATCACGTTCTGATGAAGCCAACAGGACCACATCATCTGCAAAAAGCAGAGACCTGATCCTCAGGCCACCAAAACGGATGCTCTCCACACTTTGGCTGCACCTAGAAATCCTGTCCATAAAGGTTATGAACAGAATCGGTGACAAAGGGCAGCCTTGGTGAAGTCCAACCCTCACTGGGAACGAGCCCGACTTACTGCCAGCAATGCAGACCATGCTCTGGCACCGGTCATACAGGGACCTAACGGCCCGTATCAGAGGGTCTTGGTACCCCATACTCCTGGAGTACCCCCCACAGGGCCCCCCGAGGGGCGCGGTTAAACGCCTTCTCCAAATCCCCAAAACACATGTAGACTGGTTGGGCAAATTCCCACGCACCCTCCCGGATCCCCCTAACGGTATAGAGCTGGTCCAGTGTTCCACGGCCAGGACGAAAACCACATTGCTCCTCCTAAATCAGAGGTTCAACAATCTAACGGACCCTCCTCTCCACAACCCCTGAATAGACCTTACCAGGAAGGCTCAGGAGTGTGATCCCCCTGTAGTTGGAACACACCCTGTGGTCCCCCTTTTTAAACAAGGGGCCCACCACCCCAGTCTGCCAGTCGAGTGGGACTGCCCCCAATGTCCAAGCGATATTTCAGAGCCTTGTCAGTCAACACAGCCCCACAACATCCAGAGCTTTAAGGAACTCCGGTCGGATCTCATCCACCCCCAGAGCCTTGCCACAGAGGAGCTTTTTAACCACCTCAGTGACCTCAGCACCAGAGATTTGAGAGGCCAAACCAAAGTCCCCAGACTCTGCTTCCTCACTGGAAGATGTGTTGGTGGGATTGAGGAGGTCCGGGCAAGGGAACACGGTTTCCATTTATATAATTCATCAATGTCTCTGGTCCGATGTGTCTGGTTTGATGTCGGTGGTTCTGTGTCTCTGGTTAGGTGTCTCTTGTTCATTGCCTCTGTTTTGGCATCTCTGTTTTGGCATCTCTGTTTCGGCGTCTCTGGTTCGGTGTCTCTGGTTAGATGTCTCTGGTTCATTGTCTCTGGTTAGATGTCTCTGTGTTTGGATGTTAGTTGGGCACAGGAAGCTGCTGGCTCCTATAAATCCCCTGCCCTGACCTCTGACCTCCTCCAGCTTTATGGAGGCCGAGGCAGATCGTTCTTCAGGCTTCTGCTGTGACTCAGCAGTTTTTCAACTTTAATGCCGTGTCGTTGTTTATGAGTTGGACCTTTCACTCTCTTGAAAAACGAGCCGCAGAGAAAATTCACCTCAGACTCCTGATGCAAGGTTGTGCTCGGAGGATCTGAGGTCATGTGACCAGGCCCGATCTGTAAGCAGATGTTAATCCCCTCAGCATCACCGTGTCTTCTACTTACCTTTGCCACGGCATGATTTTCCTTATTCGTTCCCCGGGGAAGCCGATGCAGCCGGTAGTCAAGGCTCCGGTCGTAGCACCAAGCAATTAAAGTTAAAAATATCTCAGATTTATGCAAAAAGAAATGGCATTTCAAGAGTTCTAATGGAAGACATTAACATCTTTAGCCCTCCTATTCCCCTAAATCCCCCTTAAGTAGCTGAAAGGATTCAGCTTCTCTCTGGGTGTTTCTTTTTCCTCTCCACAGATTCAATTTGAAAGGATCTGCTCGTGTGTTGAGCTGTCAGTGCCGTTGTTTGGGACATGTTAATACAACGATACTTTTTAAAGGATGCTTGGTTTTAGTTTTTCTCAGTTGTAACAAAGGAATTGTAGTTGGTCACCTTAAAAACTCACTAAGTTTTAAACAACAGTGAAGACTTTTCAATGGAAATGTTACTCCAGTCAGCTCATCAGCTTCAGCATTCCCAGATTTATCACTAAAACTTTCCTCTTGTTGCTGATACAGACTTTTTGTAGCCATTCCCAGAATCCCCTGACCCCTGCGCCCAGTGTTCCGGCTGACAGGCGCCTGTGAACAGTGTGTACTTCCTTTTTTAAAGGATGAAGGAACTTTCTTTAAGTTGTGGCTCTAGTTTTTCTGGAGTTGTTTTTTATCCCGTTCTCCGGTTAATCTTTGTGTTAAGCATCAGCGGGACTAACTCGGGACTCCCTCTGGATGCCTCCCATCTGGGGTTTCTGCACGCCACGTCATCTTCCGGCGGATCTTTGCTTTAAACGGAGAGACTGCTGTTATTATTTATTCTCCTCAGCTTGCCTGAATCACCTGGGTGTCAGTGCATTGCTCAAGGGCACCACAACAGAGGTTTTGATCAGTGACAAACATTTAGCCTGTGGGTCCCGCCTGACTTCCTGTTGGCTCCTGTTCTTGTCACTCACTCCTGTCGTCTACAACTCCTCCCTTTTTTAGTCTACTGAGATTATAGAAGGTGTTAACCACAACGTCCATGGCAGGTGGACCACCATCCTACATGTTCTAGATGTTCTGCTACAGCACACCTGAATCAATGGTTGAATCACCTGCTCAGCAGGTCCAAGTTCCCTATGCTCTCTCTCCGTGGGAAGACGGATGGAAATCAGCCTTTGCCTGTAATCCGGCATGTTTATAAACTTATATGTCATGTGTTGTTCATTAACATGTGTCCCAGTCAAATAAATTAAATAAAGAAAAAAGTTCACAGAATCCCCATTGAGTCAAATCAGGTGTGTTGGACCCTTGGACCAAAGACACATCTAGAACATGAAGTCCTCCTATAAGGAGCCTAAGTCTTCCCCCTTTCTGGTCGGCTCACGGGTCCTCAGAAGAACAAAAAACGAATGCAAGTCAACGGGGCTAAAAGAGGTTTTTATTAATCCGCTTTGCCTTACGCCCTGGATCGCACAAATGTTATATGTTATATGCTATTCAAATGAAAACTAATGATAGGTGTTTCGACCTCGCCAGTCACGTACTTTCAGATTTATCGGCTTGTAAAAGTTCGTCATTAGCATGGCAACATCAAGACGTCACCTATGTGACATCACCACAGAATCTCCTCCCCCCTAGCGTAGCTGCTACTTACTTCATGTACAGATTTATGGTGGTTCTTTCCTCCTGAAGGAAAGATTTGATGTTTGCTGAACTTACAGTCATTTCCCTCTGTTTTCTCCGTGTGGTTCGATGACGTCACGCTCATGAAGTGCATTTGCAGTCCTGGA